TTTTTCTTATACAATGATACCTATCATTGCATTCAAATTTAACCTACCYTAGTCAGAGGTCCAYCCCACCCCCAATGTACAGCAGAGCGATACCCACTTACCCGCTTTTTTGAAAGTACTCTTGATTCAATGACAACAATTTCGTCAGATTTTGCTAAAATTAAAAATAATTTGAATGACTATATAAATAAAATTAACTTCGGAGTATAATATAGTCAAAAGGAATAATTAAAGATAGTAAATATAAAGGAATATATTATGTTATATAAATCAATATACAATGAGCTTATCAATCAGCTTTCAAAAGAAACTTCAATTTTATTAARCACAGTAATAACAGCCCACAGAGAACAGATAAATCCACAGATATTAAAACCAACTGAGTTATTAGATCAATTTAAAGACGTAAAAATAAATTTATCTTCAAATTTAAACATGCCAATGGAAATAAACATTAAAAATTACTTTTATTTTATGAAAATTATAGAGTTAAATATATTTTATCAGAATAACTTAATTATTTATTCCATAAATGTACCACTAATAGAAAATCTTTAAGAGACAATGCTAAAGAAAAAACAACAAATATTCACTCTACCGGAATTACAGCATTAATAACAATAGTGGTAATGAGATATAAAATAAWTAGATACGTAAAAATAGGGGTAAAAAAACTAATATTAAAACCAAGGATAAACTCAATGTAGTATACTAGTATATCACGTGGATAAGAATAAAATACAAAAAGATAACAATATAACAGTTGAAGAAATTGTCGAAACCTAAATCTATTACATTGTACTTGGTAGACAAAAAATAATAGTAAAAAGCGGAGCAACTTGGTACCGGTTTATAATTAACTAAATTATGTAATACTTATACATTTATATATATTTATTTATTTTTATCTTTATAATGTTAACTTAAAAGTCGAGTTTCAAAGATAGCAGATGTCAAACACCTATTTAGCTAGGGTTAATCAACCTATAATAACCAACAATATTCAAATTATTTATGGATTAAAGACTAAGGTTATTTTATACAAATTATAATATGATGGGATAAATGTTAATTTTTTTTTATATGTTATACTTTGAGTACTATATTTTCATATCATCAGATATTCTTATATTGTCGATTATTGCTATTAAATAGAAATATTATTAAATTATAAAAAAATAATAAAAATAAAACATAGGTAATCAAATTTATAACACGTAAAACCAACACTATTTGTATAAATAAAAAGTATAATTGGCCTCTGGTGGGGTAGAAATACTCGCAAGCAAGTACTTATATAACACAAATAGTCTACACTTGGTTAAAAAGAAATATGGTTCTAGAAAGTTTTGAAAAGCATCCTATTAAAATAAATGGTTAATGGTCATAATTGACAATATAAGAAAGTTAATTAAAGTTATAGATATTAGAAATTAAATAACCAATTAAATTTGATAATGTATACATATGTAGGTTAGGTTTATATATGTATAAAAATGTAAAAAGAAAAAACATGGAAAAATCACGAAAAACTTCAATTAACCCCTTCACCATATTTTTCATTTTTTTTTAAAGGGAGGGGGTAATGTAACAATTATAATATGTTACATGATACCTGAGTATATATATATATGTTACGGTAAATGATGTTAAATGGAAATTAACGTTATTCGCCGGTTATTAACGTTATTTACCAAATACACAGGTAATTATCGTTATAAACCGGATAATCACGTTAATGACCAAATACGGCTGAGGGAGAGTTGTGGCCAGACCTTTCGATTCCGGTGTTGGAGACCGGTGAATTCCGGCCCGATAATATTTTAGGTATAGGTTAGTTGCGGCCCGACAATATTTTAGCGATAGGTGAGTTGCGGCCCAAGTAATTATCATTACATATTATGTACCTTACTTATGTAATATATATTATATTATATACCTATTACCTATGTACCGTATAAACGAATAACGATAAACGAAATGTTCAATACGTATGGGAAGTTATATTTTTGTAAATAATATGATAAAGATAATATAGATCGTTTTACCGTATTATCTGCCATATATGACTTACATTATGAATGCTTTGATTTTTTTTGGACATTATTATCATAATATATTACACCAATTATACTTTTATTACTTAATATAATGTCATAATATTAATATATTATATTATATTATATAATTTTATGAATACTTTTATTTTATTTACGACCAATATTAATATAAGTATGACTATTTATACTAGAAAGTACCTACATAATATTGTGATGTTTATATACTATATATAGACATATAGTATATAATATACGTACTTTATAAACCCGGGCCGCAATTCGTACGTTCCTTTCATAAACCCGGGCCGCAACTCGTACGTACCTCTCATAAACCYGGGCCGCAACTCGTACGTTATTTAGGGTTTGGGCCGCAACACTAACACTGTCTAACCTAACCGCAACACCAACACTGCCAAATACACAGGTATTTGGTAGACCAAATATGCACATGAATCTCAAATACCTACTACAATTTGAAAAATGATGTACCTAGGTATTTTTAAAAATAGAAAAAATGCATTACTATTTTTTATTTGTTTTTACAATTTGTACTCCCATGACATTTACTATTACATAATTTTTCAGCCCCACGGTGCACTGCTTTTTTCTGACATTGAACACATAATTTTAAATAAACCATAACTGTTTCGTTTGTTATATTGCAATATTTATTTTTCAGTTCTGCCATCATATGATTTCGTCCTCCATGGCCGATGGCAGAATGTGTTTCGTGAAGAATATCAAACAGTTCTTCAATTTTAACGTAATACAATACAACATTTTTTTCGTCAACTGGTCTAATAAGGCGTTCTTTTCCGTTTATTTTTAAAATATCGTACTTACGTACTACACGATAGTCCTTCATTGTTTTAGCTTCACCGACAGTTTTTAAACACATTTTTGATTTTTAGGCCTGTATAGGCCCAGTGTCCACTTTATCTGTGGCCGATAAAGTTTTATTGATTTACCCAATTAGTACCACAATTAGTTTAGCGATCACTTTATCATTGCTTGTTGGACATTATTTTAAAATAAAATCAACAWTTYCCAAATCATACGGTTATTAACGTTATTCACTAGAAAATAACGATAATTCCCACATTCGTAGGTAAATAACGTTAATAACCGGCAAATAACGTTAATTTCCGATATAACATAATTTACCGTAACATATATATGTACTACACGTCTACACACTTAACATTATGTACGATTAACTGCTGACCAATACAATAATATTAACACACACTCATAATTGTAAGGMCTATGGTCAATACACACCATGTATGAAGTAAGTTAGTTCACTGTGTACCTTAGACCTCAACACTCAATAAACATCAAACTCCGTACAACTACGATACACTCAAATAGTTGGATAGAATATAATTTATATAGCTTGTGAGTATTATTATTTGTA